TTGTCCTTCCTTGGAGCTTGGATGAAGAATTTCCTAAGGGTAAGATTCCACACATTTATGACAAAGGAGACTGCTTTCACTCTCTCTTGTTACGGAGCCTTGTTGGTCTGATACAGATAAAGTCTTGTGGGTTTTAAAGTCTAGCATTGGTGATGTAGGGTCTGGTGTTGTAGATATATAGTCTAGGGCTCAAAATGAAACCTCCAGCACTGGCGATGTCAAATCGTCGGCACTGAAGAGGTTCCTCGTTGAAAATGTACAATATAGCAGTGATGGTGTGAAGTATAGCGTGGTAGATTTAATATCCAGTCTTGAAGATCTAAACCTCAGCGCTACTGATGTAAAATAAAGCATTGGCGATAAATTGAAAATCTAGCACTGAGATATACAGATCTGCGCTGAAGATATAAAGTCAAAACGCTTTAGTTTTAAAGTCTAGTGCTGCAGCCGGTTGTACGAACGTGGCATTAGCCTAATGGGTCATTAAGTCTTCATTAAGCCTTTATGGTGCATTAGGCTAATAAAAACTTAATGACTCATTAGACTAATGACACGTTCGTACAACCAGCTGCTGGACAATACCAGCGCTAAATATATGTACTACAGCACTGATAATTAAAACTCCGGCGTCAAGCATTGAAGATGTAAAATATAGCATTGAGGATGACAAGTTTAACGCTGGAGATTCAATCTCCAACAGTAAAGATGTAAATTCCAGCAATGCTGAAGTAAACTCAACCGCTGGGATTAAAGTCCAGCGCTGCAGATGTAAATGGTCATCAAAGATACCAGGCGTATAAGTTGGTACGCCAGACGCGCGTTTCGTCGTCATCAAACTGCACAGCAGATAATGTAAGATGTGTCTCTCATAGTGTCTGATAGACCCCTCTTGGTCTATCAATCTTTATGGACTTTCAACTTCCTAAACTATTAAGCGTTTAACAACTACAATATGTATATATGTAGGCCTCGCTTTAGACAATTGAGTTGTTTTTGAGGAGTTGCTAATAGGATGTTACCATACATAATTGTTGACGAACCCCTATTTGAGATTTCCAATAAAAGCACGTACGTAAGCAACTCGAAGACCGAACTTATTAATGACTTCCAATATAATTACTTACGTACATAACTCGACGTACAAACCTAATGGAAGCGGTTATTGCCAACCTATGAATTTTGTTAAATTCTTCGCTCATGTTTTAACTCAGTATTCTAAGACTTTTAAAATCATGCACTGGAATTTTTATCCATTGCATATCAAATAATTTTACGTTTTAAAAAATGAAACAAATCGTGTATTTTTATTTTATCACGTGATTCTCCGGATCCCGCCTAAATTTTTACTGTCATAAGATCACGTATAAACACGCATCACTATCCTATCATACAATAGATTTGAGTTATCGTTATTGTGTCGCCCTTGCACTAATTAATGTAACTCGAATAATTCCCCTCAAAACATGATAGTCACCAGTAAATATCGTATGCAAGAATGCTCGTATTTTCCGTAGGCAAGCTCATAGACTTTTTTAGTACTGAAAATTGTAATATTGAAGTCATGTCTTTTTACTCCGTTATATTATTCCATGTAGCTGTATTTATTAGGAGAGTTATACGACAACGTTATGAACGGAGATATAACACCATTTTGTGACATGACCAAATTAATTTTGTGTGAAGAAGTCAATACCGATTAAAAAAATGAACAAAGCATTGATTTCGTGTTTTAAACTGTACATTGGCGAATGGATATCAATCTAATAAATATAAAAGAAACATAATGACCTCCTGACAACATGATTATCATGTACCAACACATATTTAGCCTTGTTTTCATTGTTTATTTATCAATAAATCTTTAAAGCCCAACAAATAAATGTGAAGAACACTATTTATACAAATGAAAAGGTCACTTTGTATTTCAAGTTGAATCTGTTTTAGACTTTTATCATGTTTATGCAATCCGTTTTTTTTTTCGAGGTTTTAATTTCAGTTTACTTTATCTTGACTAGAACGAAAGTTACATTTGAAAATATATACAATTTGTTCGATATTTTTATGCAGCTGGTGATACTCTAGATGTTTGATAAAATCTCATCAAAATCCGTGATAATATCCAATTACGTACCTTGAATTTCTTGTATGTTATTCTACGTTAAAATTATCGTTGTCCTTCCTTGGAGCTTGGATGAAGAATTTCCGAAGGGAAGATTCCACACATTTATGACAAAGGAGACTGCTTTCACTCTCTCTTGTTACGGAGCCTTGTTGGTCTGATACAGATAAAGTCTTGTGGGTTTTAAAGTCTAGCATTGGTGATGTAGGGTCTGGTGTTGTAGACATATAGTCTAGGGCTCAAAATGAAACCTCCAGCACTGGCGATGTCAAATCGTCGGCACTGAAGAGGTTCCTCGTTGAAAATGTACAATATAGCAGTGATGGTGTGAAGTATAGCGTGGTAGATTTAATATCCAGTCTTGAAGATCTAAACCTCAGCGCTACTGATGTAAAATAAAGCATTGGCGATAAATTGAAAATCTAGCACTGAGATATATAGATCTGCGCTGAAGATATAAAGTCAAAACGCTTTAGTTTTAATGTCTAGTGCTGCAGCCGGTTGTACGAACGTGGCATTAGCCTAATGGGTCATTAAGTCTTCATTAAGCCTTTATGGTGCATTAGGCTAATAAAAACTTAATGACTCATTAGACTAATGACACGTTCGTACAACCAGCTGCTGGACAATACCAGCGCTAAATATATGTACTACAGCACTGATAATTAAAACTCCGGCGTCAAGCATTGAAAATGTAAAATATAGTATTGAGGATGACAAGTTTAACGCTGGAGATTCAATCTCCAACAGTAAAGATGTAAATTCCAGCAATGCTGAAGTAAACTCAACCGCTGGGATTAAAGTCCAGCGCTGCAGATGTAAATGTTCATCAAAGATACCAGGCGAATAAGTTGGTACGCCAGACGCGCGTTTCGTCGTCATCAAACTGCACAGCAGATCATGTAAGATCTGTCTCTCATAGTGTCTGATAGACCCCTCTTGGTCTATCAATCTATATGGACTTTCAACTTCCTAAACTATTTAGCGTTTAACAACTACTATATGTATATATGTAGGCCTCGCCTTAGACAATTGAGTTGTTTTGAGGAGTTGCTAGAAGGATGTAACCATACATAATTGTTGACGAACCCCTATTTGAGATTTCCAATAAAAGCACGTACGTAAGCAACTCGAAGACCGAACTTATTAATGACTTCCAATATAATTACTTACGTACATAACTCGACGTACAAACCTAATGGAAGCGGTTATTGCCAACCTATGAATTTTGTTAAATTCGTCGCTCATGTTTTAACTCAGTATTCTAAGACTTTTAAAATCATGCACTGGAATTTTTATCCATTGCATATCAAATAATTTTACGTTTTAAAAAATGAAACAAATCGTGTATTTTTATTTTATCACGTGATTCTCCAGATCCCGCCTAAGTTTTTACTGTCATAAGATCACGTATAAACACGCATCACTATCCTATCATACGATAGAGTTGAGTTATCGTTATTGTGTCACCCTTGCAGTAATTAATGTAACTCGAATAATTCCCCTCAAAACATGATAGTCACCAGTAAATATCGTATGAAAGAATGCTCGTATTTTCCGTAGGCAAGCTCATAGACTTTTTTAGTACTGAAAATTGTAATATTGAAGTCATGTCTTTTTACTCCGTTATATTATTCCATGTAGCTGTATTTATTAGGAGAGTTATACGACAACGTCATGAACGGAGATATAACACCATTTTGTGACATGACCAAATTAATTTTGTGTGAAGAAGTCAATACCGATTAAAAAATGAACAAAGCATTGATTTCGTGTTTCAAACTGTACATTGGCGAATGGATATCAATCTAATAAATATAAAAGAAACATAATGACCTCCTGACAACATGATTATCATGTACCAACACATAATTAGCCTTGTTTTCATTGTTTATTTACCAATAAATCTTTAAAGCCCAACAAATAAATGTGAAGAACACTATTTATACCAGTATTGTTGTCTTTATAAATGGTAAAATATGTAAAACGTATTTCAAAAATGTTGCAAGGAATGTGTGAAATGTTACTTTATTGAGTTTCTGCAATTGTAACCATACTTTCACAATCTATTTCTATGTCAATTGGGTCATAAAAGTGATTTATTTATTGATTTATTGGTGTTTAATGCCACTTTCAATACTATTGGCTATTTCGTGGCGGTCAGTCTTTATTTGTGGAGGAAGCCGGAGAGACCTTAGGCAGGAAACTGACAATTCTTGTCAATTACGATTGGAGACATACGCACCTGCCACGTGCGGGGTTCGAACCTCATACCTAATTGTTGACAGGCTAGTGATACAGTAGTTGAACTACTTAGACCATTCGGTCACCGAGGCCCGACAAAATTTAGTAAATGTGTTTACCAATCTTCTATATCTGTGTCTATTTGGTAATGTATTCCTACAAATAACAAGGAAAGTAAAAAATTGCGATACATGCATCAATCATTGTATATTCATAGTTCGTCTTATTGAGTTTCTTGATGACGAAAGATTTCTAAGTTTCATCCTTTATTCCATAAACACTTTCACAATATCCACAATTCTGACTTAGTGACAGTGAGGCAACGTTAACGTAATGATGACTTGTTGGTTTTGCACATTTGCTCGGCCGTACATAATCGCTTAAAATCCACGTCATTTTGGACTCTGTTGGAAAGTTGTCTCATTCGCAATCAAACCACATCTACTTATTTTATATTGAAACACTTTCTCACGTATATCATTGCCAGATGCTAATTTACGCCCAGTCTGTTTGATATGTCGAAATTTCAAATAATTGTATTTGGCGTTATTTCGTTGGAATGTATATCATGTTGCCGTCTGGAAGTACTAACTCATAGACAGTGTAGATAAAATGTTTATCAATAATAATTTTTCAGACCTTGCTGTTTTGGATAAAGATGGCTATAGAAATATCTAAGATTTTTTTGATCAGCTTTATACTGATCCTAGTAGCATTGCTCTTTGAACTTATTGGATTTTCCACACCAAACTATGTCACTATTGATGGTGGATCATTATTTGAAGTCAATGGTGGATTATGGAAACGTTGTACCACTGTCAATAGTGTTAAATCCTGCCAGGACATATCAGGAACCGTGGAAGAAAAGGGTATAGTATGAATTAATTATAAGTAACATGTACTAAATATTACAGTGGATGACTATTATAGTAAAATGTTACTTATGTCTGAACTTTAATCAACCTGTACACCATACGTCGTTATGATTGCCATATCGAAGACCTTTTATATGGTCGCCGTGATTTTTATTTTTTAATTTCTAAGAAAGGGTAAAACCTTAACAAAAATCATCAAAGTTATCAGAGTTATAATTTGTGTACGTCATCGTTTTTTGTCTTCAAAAGATTCATCAGTGACCCTTGAATCAAAACAGGCCAATTTAAGTTCGAAGTTGAAGAGAATTGAATACCCAAAATTCCGACAGGTTTTGACAAATACAGCTAATGTATTTTAGACTGATAGCCACAAGACTGACAAGAAATGTGATTACTTTTATCTTGAATGTTTTTTGGTGAAATACATGTATATCTTTATACAAAGATAGTTGATACTATATATGTTTTAACACATAAACTTGCAAAAACGAAAATATCTTTAGCTGCAATTTGGTCCTATTGAAAAATATTCAACAAGTTATACCTTATTCAATTTGTGATTGGATTCTTCTAAAAGAGCATTGTGGGTGAAATCTTCTGCTTAGAAACACCCCCCCCCCCCTCCCCCGCCCCCCCCCCCCCCACTTGACATTCCAAAATGATGATCATTTGATTTTTTATTGTTTTAATCATTTAATGTTTGATATTTGATATGCAATCTGTATCCTTAAAATTTGATGCTACCATGATTGTTCCAAAAACTAGCATCTAAGGTTGTTAACTCTAGCATCTAAGGTTGTTAACTTTTGTTTTTCTTCAGATTGGTTTAGAGCCTGCAGAGCTATGAGTATCTTTGGATTCATTTCCCTTCTGGTTGCAGCTGTTTTGACCGGGTTGAAATTGTTCCTTCTCCGAGAGATGAAGCCAATATTCTTTGCTTCTATTGGGACAACATTTTCTGCTGGTAAGAACATCGAGATTTTCTAAAATTTATTCTTAGTATTAATGAAAAAAATTAGTAACAGTATTAACTAATCTGAAGATCAGAATAATGCAGAAGTAAACATTTATTGAAGCTATCTCGCATAATCTCATTCTAAGTGAGAAGCTCGGTGTAATGTTTTTTTTTTTTACTTTATAAAGTTTAGACAATTTTACAGTCAACTTATATCATGATCATCTTTCACTCAACATAATACTATAGAAGTTATCGATCGGAGATGAATTATATAGTTCCTTTTCAAAATTTGATATCCGAACAGCATCTGTTTAACAGAAGCTTTAGTAAAGTGTTTTAACTGACATGCATTTTTTAAACATACAATCTAGATCGCCCTTTCTCAATTACTTTTAACGTTTCCTCCGTTTGCAATTATCTTTTCCATACTTTTAAGCAGCACCTGCATACGGAGTATTTATCTCCCAGTTGATACCATATTACAAAGCTTGCATTTCCTATCATGATTTCCTTGATAGAGGATTACTGCTTACAAGAAAGATATTGAATTTATTTAAGAGTTCCATGTGGTGAAGTTGAAATCATCCCTTCGAACATTTTACGGACGCCACCACGAGTTGGTTGACTGTTATCAAATATCTGTTTCACATATGAGGACGGATATGTTCCAATTGTTCTATTCACAATCTCGTACTCCATCATCTCGAAAGATACTTACCGAGTTAGACTTGAAAACAGGTTTGTACTTGCATGAGTAACACGACGTGTGCCACATGTGGAACAGGATCTGCTTACCCTTCCGGAGCACCTATGACCAACCCCTGTGTTTTGTGTGGTTCGTGTTTCTCAGTCTTTATTTGGTTTTCTATATTTTGTTTTGAATACTGTTGTGTATCTTTTGGTCGTTTTTTCGTTTTTTGCCATTGCTTTGTCAGTTTCTTTTCGACTTGTGAGTTTGTATGTCTCTTTGTTATCTTTTGCATTCGCCGTGTATACAACAACTCGTAATGGCAAAATACAGAATAGAACAAAGATGAATAGTAGTGGCAATTTAAATAATATCATGTCTTTATGTAATACCCGCTTTATAAAGACGCTTATGCGAAAGTATGAAAATTACGTATTCACCTGAAAGCAACATAAACGCTATAAATTGGGTTGACATCTTGTATTCAATATAGTAACCCTGGACTACTTAAAAAAAATGATCAATTGTAAATTTCAAGAAAGTAATTTCTCTGTGCGTGACGCATTTAAAAGACTATTTAAAGAATAAAAGCGAAAAAAAAACTGATTTATCAATTAATTTGTTGAATACTGATTTTCTCGATTGATATGTTGTTCTTTTTCTTTTCAGCATTTTTCATTCTTGTTGCTAATTCACTCTACGCAGCCAACATCGACGATGTATCCGTAACAGGATATACATCAAACTATGGGTATTCATTTGGTTTATCTCTAACCGCAATGTGTATTGCTGTTGTTGCTGGAATCATCATGATCGTGGATTTGTTTATTGGAACAAGTCTTAAAAAGGTTCAGAGTAATTGATTTCAATTGAATTATTTCAATATATATGTATCCATGTATAAAATGTTTATATCAAGTCTGTTTTATTTGTTACGCCCTTAATTTAAAAATACTATATCATATCCATTGTCTGGTTGAAAATTACAAACTGAAATAGTTCTGAGACTCATAGTCAATTGCTCTCATGGTCAAACTGGAAGAGTAATCAACTGGCATTGACTGATTTATTATGAGGTATTTGAAGCCCAGTGATGGGAATATAATGCAATTGTTTGAGGACTTCGCTTATTGTATGATCTTTTATACTATTTTTTTCTGTTTCTCTCCTATAGCAACAATAATTGCAGCGACGTTTCCTTTTCAATCTAAACTGTTCTAGATTATTAATTTTTTTTTAATAAGGGAGCTACCATTTGATTTTTATGGGGGAGGGGCTAGGATGAAATTTGAAAAAAATAGGCAGGACAGGAGTTTTGAGTAAAAAAAAAGGCAGGATGAGATTATTTGCAAAAAAAAAAAGGCTAATGACAATTTAGTTAAATAAAAAAGTCAGGATAAACTAAAAAAAAAAAGGCAGGACCGAATAGAGTGAAAAATAATGGGCAGGACCGAATAGAGGGAAAAATAAAAAGGCAGGACAAAATTTTTCATCCTAGCCCCCCCCCCCCCCTTTCCTTTCCTTTTCAAACTAATTAAAACTGTTCTAGATTATTAAATTTTTTTTAATAAGGGAGCTACCATTTGATTTTTATGGGGGAGGGGCTAGGATGAAATTTGAAAAAAATAGGCAGGACAGGAGTTTTGAGTAAAAAAAAAGGCAGGATGAGATTATTTGCAAAAAAAAAAAGGCTAATGACAATTTAGTTAAATAAAAAAGTCAGGATAAACTAAAAAAAAAAAGGCAGGACCAAATAGAGGGAAAAATAATGGGCAGGACCGAATAGAGGGAAAAATAAAAAGGCAGGACAAAATTTTTCATCCTAGCCCCCCCCCCCTTTCCTTTCCTTTTCAAACTAATTAAAACTGTTCTAGATTATTAAATTTTTTTTTAATAAGGGAGCTACCATTTGATTTTTATGGGGGAGGGGCTAGGATGAAATTTGAAAAAAATAGGCAGGACAGGAGTTTTGAGTAAAAAAAAAGGCAGGATGAGATTATTTGCAAAAAAAAAAGGCTAATGACAATTTAGTTAAATAAAAAAGTCAGGATAAACTAAAAAAAAAAAGGCAGGACCGAATAGAGTGAAAAATAATGGGCAGGACCGAATAGAGGGAAAAATGAAAAGGCAGGACACAATTTTTCATCCTAGCACCCCCCCCCCCCCTTTTCCTTTCCTTTTCAAACTAAACTGTTCTAGATTATTAATTTTTTTTTAATAAGGGAGCTACCATTTGATTTTTATGGGGGAGGGGCTAGGATGAAATTTGAAAAAAATAGGCAGGACAGGAGTTTTGAGTAAAAAAAAAGCAGGATGAGATTATTTGCCAAAAAAAAAGGCTAATGACAATTTAGTTAAATAAAAAAGTCAGGATAAACTAAAAAAAAAAGGCAGGACCGAATAGAGTGAAAAATAATGGGCAGGACCGAATAGAGGGAAAAATAAAAAGGCAGGACAAAATTTTTCATCCTAATTGTCTTGAAAACTCTAATGCGTTCATGAAATATGCAAATTTTTGAGAGTGGAATGTATTTTTTGTAAGAATTTCCTTTTTGAGAACAGGATTTTTTATCATTACAACTGTTTTCACTAATGAAAAAATATCGTTTGCCTGATCTTTTTTCAACTTAACCATATACCGGTGAGGGGAGATAAGTTAGATGATCCAATTTTGTAAAGGAATGCATAGTAAACACAACTTATTTGTTTATTGCAGGAAATCGAGTCCCATGACCCTATTTTGTTTTATTTTCTAAAAGCATTTATAAAAGCTATCTTCTCATATTTTATTTTTAAATTTTATCGTTTAGTTTTCTTTCTATTCACACAAATTGATTTTTCCATGTACATATTCTATAATCTATACAGAATCTGACAATAAAAACTCTGTGGCCCATACATTAATACAATTTTGACATTTTCATATTATCAGTATTTTGAATTTAAAAAAATGAAAAATAAATTTATTAAATTTAACTCACACCCCCCCCCCCCCCCTTCCCCCCTCCTTTTCCATCTACCTTAAGAGAAATAATTTCTTTCAGTCAATTGCAAATTTGGACCGTTTAACCTTTGGTAGATCTTTTTTGTAGTTTTAATAGATTTAGATTCTACCACTGCATCGAGTGTGATCTACGATATTTCTCCTCTCGAGACAGTTAATTTTCAAATTTAAGGCTTGCATAGCGTTTTTAATAATTAGAATTTAAGTATCAAGAGAGGCGAAATATCCTTTTGCACAATATAAGGTGGCGTTAACTATTTCTATAAAGATGTTTAGACAAAACGTATCTTTACTTTTCAATGATCTGCAAAAAGATTATTTATATTTTACGTCATCTTGCCTGGTGGTCTATTTTCTTTCGTGACGTCACAATAGGGAATTCAGAGAAAAAAAAAGAAAATTTAACGCCATAATTGTATTTTTGTCTAATAAAGCAAACCACATGTTGATTGTAAAAAAATAGTTAACCAGTCGTGGAATTATAAAAGAGATAAATAAAGGGAGATATCATACCGGGTATACTTTATAGTGAGACAGTAACCCAACGACACAGTAAAACTAAGACATTGAGGGGTCAATATGTACAGTCTTCAACAAAAGAAAGATGCATATAAACAAAATGTCAAACTCCCAACTACCTTCTGTCTATAAAGTTTGGAATTAATTTAGCATTATTTACCATCAAAGATATGCCGACAAGCACACGATAAGGTGGTGTGGTTGGTAAAATTAGCCCCCATTTTTTTTTAATCTCGATCATTGGAATTACAAAGCGCTACATCAACGATGATACATTGAAATCAGTACATGAAAAACACTTACTAGTAACTCTTTAATGACAGTATAATGGAATTTTAAAAAAACATGTACAAGCAAAACAACAATAAGCAATACATTTTGATATAATCAAGGTTCGCAGTACCTAAGGCAAGCTAAAAATACATAACTTGGTGATATGAACCTACTCTATACATAACCTGGTGATATGAACCTACTCTATAATGAATGTTGCAAGCTAAAAACACATAACCTGGTTATATGAACCTACTCTATACATAACCTGGTGATATGAACCTACTCTATACATAACCTGGTGATATGAACCTACTTTATACATAACCTGGTGATATGAACCTACTCTATAATGAATGTTGCAAGCTAAAAACACATAACCTGGTGATATGAACCTACTCTATAATGAATGTTGTCTTTGTCTGCTATTAGTATCTATTAATGAAATTGAATATAATACAATTTATAGATGGCTGAACTTCACCAAATTAAGTATTTATAAATATAAATACACAAACCGTTTTGCGAGTACTTGAAGTTTGTTTCTTATTCTAGAAATAGTATTATGTAGTCTTTTATTTATTTCTAAATCCTTTTCAAAATTTGATATTCGAACATCCACAACATTCATACTTTTATTTAAATAAGAGTCAAGAGATGTTTTATCAGATTTTTCCCGTTTACACCATTTTTTACAATACGATGAAAGGGCGTCGTTTGTAACCTAACGACACTGTTTCCAATCTATTTTAGATGGAGGACGATATTTTGGTCCTTTTTCACAAATTTTTAAACCTCTCGATCTTGAACGATATTGAGGTCCCCCGTTATAACATGACCATATGGATCATATCTTAAATTCGACGATTCACAGTCTCAAGTTAGAGGAGTATTATTTTCTACACTGACGTCTGATGTTACTGAAGTATTATAGTTAAAAGTTAAACTTCTGCTGGGTTTTTGTATGTATACAAAATAATAGGTGGTCCTATGTTATCAAAATATATAGGGAGGTATAAAGTTTTGAATGGTAGAGTCATTTAATATACTCGATAAGTTGATGAAATCAATACATACCTCTGTTAATATATTTAATTTTCAGAAAATGCCGTTTATGATCTTCAGGTTTATCGATACGCGGGAACAGTCTTATGGTGGCAAACAGATGTAATTATACGCGAATATTCATAAAGTGGGCTGAAGAACGAGATTGTGTCACACTCCTTAAAAATATCACTAATTGGTATTTGACCAAGTTTACATAATAATTGATGCCTACCATTGTTTTTAAATATAGATAGGAAATTATCAGGTGTATAATTTATACTATGTTTAATACATTGATTTCGATTGATACGTTAGCCATGAGACCTATTATTACGTTGTCTTTTATCAACAATATTCATGATATCAATAGACGAAGTTTAGATATGTTCCCTTGTCCCATTATATTATATTTAGACCCAGGGGATATGCTGTCTGCAGTCGTTTGATCCAAGACTGTTCGATAATTTTACGGGAATCTTCAAATTGTTTATGCGATTGCCCTTGTTGTTTCTGGATCGTTTCGAGTGGTTGGAAGCTTATAAATTTAATACTGTTTGTCCTACATATTGTATACCACACTTTGGTTTTGTTCAATTAAGCAGATTTAAATTGTTGGTTTATGTATAGCATATCATGCATCATAGAAGTCAATCGTATATTGCTACAAAATGCATGAAGCCACAATTTTATTAACCGATTAAATTAAATTTTCTTTCTCATTAATTTATCTTTATTTAATGAATTGACTTCTATGATGCATGATATGCTATACATAAACCAACAATTAAATTTATACCTGTAGCTTGTATTTAATTGCCTAGATATCTCACTGATCGAAAGTTGTCTGACAGGTCTGCTAAATATTGTAAAATGAGATAACACTTTGGTATGAATATTGTTGATATGAAAACATATAATCACGAAACAAGGAGATTTTTTTCCCCTCTCCTTAATTTTTCGCTTATTATTTTCTCCAGAAAATTTGTAAGACCTACATGTACGAAGAGTGTGCAAGTAAGTTTGCGCTGATTTGCTAACATTGATAGTTTGTGTGTAATTCTTTTATTTATCGCTT